ATAATCATTTTACAAGAAATCAGACAGTTAATTGCTACAATAATATCTCTCAGTAACATATGCGAACAATTAATGCACAATGAAAATTAAATATATTTCATAAGGCTCGGACAAATACAACACCTTTTTTTTTTCGTATCGCCACGCATGCCATTCACTAACGATCAAAGTAAAAGTGTTTTTTTCGCTTGAGGTCACTTCTAATACATACTTTACGGACGAAATAACCATTTCGGTGTATATATTTATCATAATTATGGACTTTAAAAGATACACAACTTATATACATATATAATTAGTATTTGTAACTTAGATATTTGTGGATTTTTTATATATATTCAGAAGTCATATTTCTATTACCACTATATACAAATTAATAAAAAAATCTGGGGTTTAATTTGACCTAAAAAGGAGGATAATCTAACACTAAACACTAGAGAACTATATATTAAAGATATGACTATAGACAAAACTACCTTTATAAAGAATGTTAGTTCATGACATATATTTATTGTACAAGGACAACTTTACAAGCTAATTTTCCTTGCGGTCAATAATACTACAATTTTTCTTTGTAGTCATGGTATCTTTACCTGTTGGTATTTTGAAAATGAAGTATATGCTGTTCACGAAACTACGAATCTAATGCTACAGTGAAATTGTTGTATTTCTGTCTATATTAAGAAAGATTATGCTGCTACATTGTCAGTATTGTGTGCGTTTTATTCATTTCAAACATGGAAGGTACATGTGTCGTACTTATAGATGAAATTGGTTAAAATATTCAAGTGTTTTCGTGATCAACTCGTCGGTTGATAAAAATACCGAAGTTTAAAGGTGAGAGAACGATGACATTCGTGGATATTATGGATAGAAGATTAATTTGCGGTTAAATGACTAATTTATTCGACGTGTTACCATTTACGACTATAGTGGAGTATTTTACATTTTTTCTTTGTGTATGTTAGTTTTTGTTTTGTGTGTAAAAAAGTTTCTTTTGGTATATTCAGTATATGTTAATCTAAAATAAACTGAAATAATTCATTCCTGATATCATCATTATATCTAAATGGTGTGCGGAATTTCTACATATTTCGAAATTTCAAGGTATGCCCCTTTTCAATTGATAAAAGTATATAAAAAATATAATATTGGGAAATCGGTATACTATTTATTCTATTTTGTATAACAAATATATATATTTGTAAATATTGATTTGCACTGATAATAAATCGCTGTTTGAATAAAATAAACTTCCCTTTTGAAACGTTTTAAGATATCCATAGTAACTGTTTTAAAGTATAAATTTCACACACAAAAAAACCCATTGGAAATGGGATGGTTACCGTCGTACTGAGCATACATGTTAATTATAAGGTTCTTTTGTCTGAAACTTTCAATTAGAAAATCAAAGTGCATTTTATTCCAATTAAAAAAACTGTTTTATAACCATACATTGAGATAAGTATAATTGTATAGATCCTATGGGGAAGACTTTACCATTCCGGTATATATCCCAAATGTCTTAATTAACACAAGCCGTATTAGAAAAAATATAGGGTGATGGGGTTGTGGTTGTGTTTTTGATTGTGATTTTATAATTTTGATATTTCGTTTTTGTTGTATAATACAGATTGTAAGAGTCTGATAAAAAAGAAAATATTTCTTATCTCTTAATTGGTCTGTTTCTTATGATTGTTTCTAGAACATCTTCCAAGATCATCAAGAAGAAAAAGAGAAAAACAAGCAGTATAGCAATATAAAGCCAGGAATAAGGAGTAATTTAATTGATTTGTAATTTAAAACGCTCGAAACCTATCTGAAGATTGTGTCCGTTGCTAAGGACACAGGCGTGTAAAATCAATATTTCATTTCAGATTTACGGTTTTGTGTCGATAAATTCTGTTCTTTCCCGTAATGTTCTAATTTTCTTGATTCTTTTAAAAGGAAATATATGGTGGCTGATATACGCCATGTCGTGCTTTCATTTCTTTGCTTCCAAAATTCGAAAACACGAATGGAAAGTTGACTTGGTCGTCTATTGGTGATATCGCTTTTTGGGATTATTTAAGCAAAACGCGAAAATACGACGGAAGAAGGGTGACAATATGATAAGTCTGTCGTTTGTTTGAATTTCATCTGTCGTATTTTTGCTTTTGGCATAGTTGCATTTTGAATTTTTCGCATCGTTGTGTTTTTGCTTTTCCCATTTTTGTATTTTGACTTTTTCGCATGTTGAAATTTCGCTCTTTCGCATTGTTTTTTTTTACATTTTCTTTTTTTTTGTATATTCGCTTTTATCGCAGCTTCACATTCCAGTTTGATTAAACATATATGCTGAATAGTAATCAAAGGTAAATTTCATATATGTAATCAAAATATTATCCACAAGCACATTCTGTCACATTTTATAATAACTGCCTTTAAAATTAACGATGCGAAAAAGTGAAAATGCAACCATGCGAAAATGTAACAATGCGAAAATGTAACAATGCGAAAAAAGCGAAAATGCAGAAATGCGAAAATGTAATAAAGCGAAAATGCGAAGTGGCGATAAAGTTAAAAAAAAACAGCATCATTTTTATATAGATATTTTACGTTTTCAATTTTTAATTCTTATGGGAGATTCATCATTTTGCAAATACATGTAGTGTACATTTCAAGGAGAATCTGCGTCTTACATATTTATGAAAAAAAACGTCTAAATATCATAAACTGTATATTGACTGACGGCTCTTTTTAGCTACAGTTAACATGTAGAAAATTAACCCTTACAACGCTTAATATTTTAATTGTCCATTTTTTACTTTGGACAAAACCGTTAATAATTATTAGGGGAAAGTTTCAGATATTGTTCACTTAGCCAAGTGCATGGAAGTGCCGGCTGACCTTGTTTTGCACTTGTCGCATGGGTATATTATACAGTTGTCGTCATGAAGCTAATGGTATGCATGTACATTTAATTGCTTGTTAATCCCTAAATACCTGACTTTATCTGGATAACTATCAGTTTCTATGTAATCCGGTGCCTGTATGTAACTGTGACTAATAAGAGAGTTCCTTTCTTTTTATAATATCAGTTCATAAATAAATTATTTTGTGGCAAACACTGTAGTTCGATTCTACGCTTAAATAAAGCATTTTAAATAACTTCTGTTCGAAATTTAGCAGATATTAAAATTGTCCAGTAGAATAAAATAGAATTTAAAAAATAGAAAATCATAAAAAGTGTTACTAAATAACTTAGAACTTAATCATTTTTGTCAAGCAATATTTTATAGAATTATTCAAATAATACATTTCTATTGTTTTTATCAATATTTGAAATATATCTTTGGCCTATTGTAAAGGAAGCGTCCTGGTGCCAATTTAATATGCTCTATCAAAATGATAACTCCTACGTAGGAGATAAAATGCCTAATTAGGAGTTTATAACTGATACGTAGGACTTTATAAGTCCTAGGTATGACTTTAAAACTTCTACATAGGAGATATAAAACCTAATTAGGTGTTTGTAAGTCCTACGTAGGACTTTATAACTCATGCGTAGGAGTTACAAAGTCCTAATTAGGCTTTTTTATATTCTACGTAGGAGTTACATAACTATACATAGGACTTATAAACTCCTTATTAGGCTCTTCTATCTCCTACGTAGGAGTTGTAAATTCCTACGTAGCAGTTTTAAAATGCTAACTTTAACTGGCATCAGGACGCTTCCGTTTATTGTAGACCAACCCACCTTAAATGAATGTAGATTTTTTAGAACATACTTTTAACATTATAATGGTCTGGAACCTGAATATTTATGAATGATATATATTAGTGATGGCGTGTTGCTTTACGTTGCAAGAACAACATGCGCCTGAAATCCCCTTCATACCTTGTTTTTATATCTATAATAAACATTATATGCATAGTATATGTTTATTATATATACATGTTTAGGGTAGGAGTGTGTGTGTTAGACGCAAGGCACCTGTGGCAAGAGTCATCTTAATCAAAAGGATTCTTAATTATTTCTTTCCCTTCTAGATGTTGACAAAATATCCACCCATTGATATATGACCTACAGGTGTTGAGGAAAACTGTTGTTACACAGACGTATGGACAATGTATCATGGAAGAAGACGGTTGAGTAGACTTTGCAACGTGATAGCCACGTTACTGTTCTGTTTAATATTCTTATTGGTTTTAAAACGTATGTGCATTATAGCATTTTCATATTACCCAAATCCACCATCTGAACCTAAAAATAGAAATCAAAAAGACTATGTGGTTACGTACGGAGCCAGTTACTTGAAACCAGCTTTTCTAAAAACTATAGTCGTTTGGACGCGTCATTTCGGAGAATGGGGATGGGAGATTATAGCAGAAAATTCAATGAAAATATGCCCGTCTAAATGTTTGTACACACGAGATAAAAACCTAGTAGAGAATGCGAACGCGGTGTTATTTAATGCCAATGATTTGTGGAAATATCGAACTTTAATTGGCACGCTTTATGAATATTCCCTATACCAATGCCTAATGTGAGAACACCGAACCAAGTCTGGATCTTACTGAGTATTGAACCAATGAATACAATGCGTGTTTCTATGAACCAGTATGGATTTAACTGGACGACATTATACAGGAGGGAGTCCACCGTATACTACCCATTTACAAACCGGTTTAAAATGTCTCCAGATGAAATAAATAAGAAAGAAACGCATTCCAAAGGAGTGTCTGAAAATCATTTTAAAACCAAAACAAAGTTCGCTGCAACCATGATAAGTAATTGTGACGATGATGCAAGAAGGTATAAAATAATCAGGGAATTGAAAAGATATGTTGACATCGATGAATTTGGGGATTGTTCCGGAAATGTGATATGTCAATACCGGAAATCCCCGAACGAATGTAAGCAACTCTACGAGTATAAATTCTATTTAGCTTTTGAAAATAGTTTCTGTGGGGACTATGTTTCTGAGAAATTTTGGTTGACATTTGATAGAGGACAGATCCCAATAATTGCCGCACCGAAATACAATGTAGAGATGTTGCCTCCAAAGTCTTACCTAAATGTGTTCGATTACAATAGTATTAAGGAACTAGCAGACGAGATGGTCAAAGTCGGAGAGAATGAAACGCTTTATAACAGTTATTTTAATTGGATGAACATTTATAAGCGTAAGAAGAAATCCATATATTGCAGATTATGTGAAGAACTTTATGCCAATAGAACAGCACAAAATTATGTTGACATAGATGAATGGATCAATGATGATATTTGTGAAAAACAGACGGTAAGATTTAAGCCCTTTTTGGCAATACACATGTATTCATAAAGTTTCGAATATCACGATAGGGACACGCTTGTTGATGAACTTTAGTGTGTCATGTGCAGTTTTATATTTTAAGGCCAAGTAAGCCTATGAATGCAATTATTTTCATTTTTCAAAAGCTTTTAACTATGGATGATATGTTTCAGTTTTCCAAAAAGATACCCAATTGTTATTTCACAGAATAACATTTTGCTTCTTTAGTATTTTTGATTCAACCTTTTAATGTGGAAGATAAAATAGCACTGTGTGTGGAAGACAAAATACTTTGTTTACATTTTACTACCATGATCACAAATTGTTAAGCATATTTCATATGTTCTTTATCTGTTATTAAGCATTGCTTTGTTCTTCCTTCAGAAAGAAAAATGTAAACAAACAACATATTTACTTGGAACTGACGCTTGATTTGCCTTTAAAGTTTATGCGATTGCAGTTTAATTGTACATAAATTTGCTTCTATTATACACTGTTTGTTTTGCTTTTTGTTGTTTTTTTTTACATTTTTATGCCCCCACATAGTGGGAGCATATAACGTTGCACTTGTCCGTCCGTCCGTATGTACGTCCGTCCGTCCGTACGTCCCAAAATCTTGTGAACGCAACTCCTTTTAAACCGGATGGCAGATTTTGCTTACACTTTCAGGGATGAACAACCTTAATGTGTAGATGGTAGTAAAGGAAGGAATTTTCGCTGCGACCAAATTTAACCGAATGATGGTCCTTTGTTGATTTTTTTTCACCATATACCATATAGAAATTTTGTGAACGCAACTCCTCTTAAACCGGATGGCAGATGTTACTTAAACTTCCAGGGATGAACAACCTTAATGTGTAAATGGTAGTAAAGGAGGGAATTTTTGCTGCGACCAAATTTAATAGAATTATGGCCCTTTGTTGATTTGTTCACTATATACCACATATAAATTTTGTGAACGCAACTCCTCTTAAACCTGATGGCAGATTTTGCTTAAACTTTCAGGGATGAACAACCTTAATGTGTAGATGGTATGAAAGGAAGGAATTTTTGCTGCAACCAAATTTAACAGAATTATGGTCCTTTGTTGATTTTTTCACTATATACTATGTAGAAATTTTGTGAATGCAACTCCTCTTTAAACCTGATGGCAGATTTTGCTTAAACTTCCAGGGATGAACAACCTTAATGTGTAGATGGTAGTAAAGGAAGGAATTTTTGCTGCAACCAAATTTAACAGAATTATGGTCCTTTGTTGATTTTTTCACTATATACTATATATAAGTTGTCAGTGGGGACACAGTTCTAGTTATTATGTCATTTCTCTTTCAGTTATGGACATCGCTGTTGGCATTATTCGAGAGGTGGTTGTTTGATATCGGATTGGTATAAAAAACATGAGCCACATAACAGATCATATGTGTGAATACTGCAGTCGTCATCAGTCGTAATGGTATGATGACATGAACCCCGATCGTCAGATTCCAATGAAAATTCTAATGATTATACAGTTATGACATTAAATGTTATAATGCTATATCTCATATATATGTGCCATGAAAATAAATTGTCATTTGTGAGTAAAGTGGTATTTTGATATTTATCTGCTAGTTATTGCTTTTTCTTCTGGCAGAAGCTTAACACCTAATTGATGTTGCCATGCGTTCCATTCTTAAAGTGAGTTGATCACATTTTTTAATAAATATTTCAAATACTGTGAAAGTTCAAAACACTTGAAATGTTTCTTTTTAGATATTCGTTTTTTCTTTGAGAAGAAAAATGTTGCTAGATTTCATTGAATGTATTTGGGAAATGATATTAATATTTTCTTTAAGGAAAAAATTTACTATCTGCCATTTATAGATGTGTCATATCGGACCATGTATTCATTAACAACATTCCTTTGCGGTTTGTTGATACGTATGATACTCAATACAATCAATTTAACAATTTAATTATTGTGGTACTTCAGAATTTCCATTATTGATCTGTTTACGTTAATCAATTATTTCTTTTATTATATCTTCCATGTTGCATATTTTATCTAGTTGTTTATAAGAAATGACATTTAATACAACCTTTCAGGAATGTATTAGATAGAAAGGTATTAGTTATTTCATAAAAATAATGGATACACGAACTTTGTTTGAAATTTGGCAAGTATCTAAACTGTAACCGAAATCTGGGTATAAACTGTAACAAAATCGGATAAAAATCGCTAGGTCTATGCTGTAATCCTGCACAAATCACCTCGCTCTATACTGTAACATTGTTATTTTTTCAAACGCATTTTACCAACAGGAAAATAGGTTTCCTAGTAACATAAAGGACTAAAGTTTTGTAAATTTACTTTTTCTAGGCATGCATAAATAATGTCGAAATTGGAGAAAAATGTATTGGTCTCTCGATTCAAATTTTCAAACCGTCAAATCTGCATATTTATGAGACAATATAGCGATAAATCTGCGGTGCAGAGTCTGAAGAAATATATGACTAGATACCGGATTCTGTTCCTTACAAGCAAAGCACAAAACATCTTTTAGAAACTAAACTACTTGTAGTATGGACCGGAATAAAAATCCCAACAAATAATCCTCCATCTTTAAAATTCTATACTGTAACCGAAAAACGCGATACTGTAACACGTTCCCCACGGTGTTAATATCATTTTATCCTTCTTTCAGTACATTAACTAATAGTTTGATAAATTCATAGATAATTATACAGTTTGCACTAATGAAAGGAAACGTGGGGAAATATTGTGAACTATGCATAAATTCGATCATTCCTGTCTTGATCATCAGTCGTTCACTTCTTCGGGTTTTACGTTTTATTAAATAACAAGACTGGCACAAAGTCTTGGTATCGACAGACAGAGTAAACTGTGCGACATCGCAAAAACTATGTTCTAGAGATGTATCGCCAGCGAAAAAAACCCTACATAAAATGGAAGCATTCTTTCTTATTTCGGACCAATTTATTTTGTTTTCGTGCAGTACTCATGTGAGAATTCTATGTTGCAACTCTTTCAAAATTCGACCATAATATTATGTAAACGACATACTTTAACCGTTCATTTTTATAAAACAATATAACATTTGATTAACTAACTAGTTAATTAAGAGGTTAACTAGTTACGTAAGTAGTTATTCACTTAATATTAAGCTGGTAAAATATCATAAGGATGGCAGTTGTAGGCACTAACATGCATTTATTTCCCGTAATGATCTTTAATTTATTGAATAAAAAATAACTAGTTACGTAACTAGTTAACCTCTTAAATACTTGTTACTAGATTAACTAGTTACGTAACTAGTAAAAACAATAACTAGTTACGTAATTAGTTAACCACATAACTAACTAGTAATTAAGAGGTTAACTAGTTACGTAACTAGTTATTTCAGTATATAATTTGCAATGAGGCAGCAGACGACACTGTCTTATTGATTTCCCGCTTTCCCATATCGTCTAAACGATTTTGTTTTTATTTTTTGATATCGGATTACCATGTTTTAGTATAGGTTAAAGTTTATTAGTACGTATTTACAAAAATAAATTGGTCTAATCTTTGTAAATACGTACTAATACATTTTAACAGGCTAGTGTTTTAATTATTTTTATAAACAGTCGATTTACTAGACTGATTAACAGTTTGCCGATTTACCAAAGTAAATGTGTAACGATTCATTTGAAATAATGCGATCCTATTGAACAAAAAATAATTTTAAACACAAGTAACAATTAAACGTTAAAGCAGTGTAATATTATTTGCTCGGGGAACTATCAACTTTCATTTCACCATGTATTGCCATTATATTTTACATGTATAACCTTTCTTTTCAATGGATTGTACGGATTTTTATCTACCAGAGGTCAAAAGTTTTATTTCGATAATAATTCTATATTCAACACTTCATTTGAAATTTGAATATTTGAAATCAAATTAGATCATGTTTAACAGTAGCAGTGCATATAGGTGATATATATCAAGATTATCGATTGGAAAGCAACGTTACAAACTTGCAATAATAAAAACATATACTAATAGTATTTAAAGGTTACTTATACTTAGAATAAAGTGCATGTATATAGTAACAATTCAAAGACGGTTCAAGTAGAACTTAATTAGAAGAATTAATTACGAACGTAGTTAAGAAAATAGAAAAATAGCCAAACTTGCAAATATACAATCCTATGTCTTTCATACAGGTACTTTGTGAGTATTCTTTTTTACAAAATTCGAACAATTATTTTGAAAACTACAGGCAGTAGATGTATTTAGTAGCTTTACATTTCTGTTCGTTAATAATAGACTGTAAATAAAATAAAATAAAAGTTTGTATATTTCATTAAGAGCAAATTTACGAAATCATTAATGAACAGTTATCAAAGTGCAGAGTACAGATATACTTGCTATAATGTTATTTTATGTTTCTTTCAGAACATTAAGTAACAACCGGATGAAAGCATAGATAATTATACATTTTGCACTGATACTGAACGTGGGGAAATATTGTGAACTCAGCATTAATTCCTTCATTCCTGTCTTAATCATTATTCGTTTATTCTTTCAGGTTTTGCTTTTTATTAAATAACAAGACTGGCACAAAGTCTAGGTAACGATAGTGTTATGTATGCAACATATTACATGTATATAGATTATATCTGACCAGTTGGTATTTCCAATATTGTCATTGTTCTATTTTTAGAACATAAACTACATGTATGTACTAGAACGTTCTTAACTGTTGTGGAAAACTCATGCATTATATTTAGATAGAAATTTCTGGAATGATCTTTATTGTTGAAGTTGCTAGATTATGATTACTGTAGTAAATGGAACACTATTCTAGAAACTTCTTAGTTAATATATATATAAGGAGACATTTTTCATTACTCTTATCTTTAAGTCATCAGTTACCTTTTTAGTCATCAGTGATCTTTTAAGTCATCAATATATTTGGAGTATTATTCAACTTGGAAATTAAGTGATTTATTGGAGCTTGGATTATTAATTATTCTTGTGGATTTTATTGTGGGTATTTATTCTAAAGTGTTCTTGGATTTAACTTGGATTTAACTGCTATTGAAAAAGGATCATTCCAGGATCAGACTAGACATTTGTAATTTTATTTGGACTTCAGGTATTTGTAAAGATAATTTGTTATTTATTTTTTCTTTAATAATTTTTTCTGTAATAAATTTGTTATTGTTACAAGTTTGTTGCTGGCTTTTCTTTCTTGTTACGCCTGGCTCGTAACAGAAATTGGGGGCTCATCCGGGATTTGAATATTTCTTTTTGGCTACATTATTGGAAATTATTACCATTTATTTTATATTTTATTATTACCGTATTTACTCATCTGAGTTGATATCATAGTTGTTCTATTAAGTGTACCTTTCATTTTGAAATTTTTGAAACACATCACTTTCTGAGTTTAAAACCAGCAGCAAGCAGTCATGTCTTTTAATTTAGAAAAATTTGTAGCTGACCCTTCCCAGGAGGTATTAGATTTGGCTAAGAAAACTGATTTGCTCGATCTTGCAAAAAAGTATAATTTATTAGAAATTAAATCTTCAATGCGTAAACAAGAAATTAAAAATCTTCTGATTCATTATTTTGTGGATGAAGATATTTTTGGAGAAGATGCACCGTGTCACTTATCGGTGATACTTGCCCACCTACTCCTATTAAGATTTTAAGAGACACAGGAGCTTCTCAATCTCTTATTTTGGCAGATACACTGCCTTTTTCTGAGAAGACTTCTTCTGGATCTAGTGTCCTTATTCAGGGTGTAGAGTGTGGTTTTTCTAATGTCCCTCTCCATAATATTTATTTGTCCTCAGATTTGGTAACTGGGCCGGTGGCTGTAGGTATAAGATCTTTCTTACCCTTTTAAGGTGTTCATTATGCTAGGTAATGACTTAGCTGGAATAAGGTAGTGGTTAATCCACTTGTAACTGACACTCCTTGTGTGGATCAGATACCTGATCCCATTGAGCAGGAAATTCCTGACCCACACCCGTCATGTGCAGTTACTCGAGCTCTGGCTAAGTAGGCCATTCAAGAAGACAATAATTGTTCAGATATTGACTTAGCTGATACTTTTATAGGTCAGTATTTTGATAATGAAATAGATTTTTCCCTCACTCCTACTCTGCCTGAAACTCAGACAGATTTTTCAATATCTAACTTTTCTACACCTAGATCTAAAAATCAAGGTCATGACACGCTGTCAAGGTCACAGTTTATCCCAGGAACAACAAAATGATCCTGAGATTTCAGTCCTTTTTCAAAAGGCTTTTAGTGAAGATGAAGCTTTACAAGTCCCTGTTTGTTATTATGAAAAGAATGGGATTTTAATGAGAAAATGGCGACCGCCCGATGTCCCTGCTTTAGAGGAGTGGACAGTTAATCACCAAATTGTGGTCCCTAAATCATATCGCCAGGAAATATTAAGCTTGGCTCATGAAACACCCATGGCAGGTCATTTAGGTGTTAATAAAACCTACCATAAAATTCTCAATCATTTTTATTGGCCTGGCCT